TAATCACTTGTAATTATATTTGTCCAATTAAGAATTTACTTCAATTTGATTCTTCGGATAATTGCGTGTTTATATTTCCGGAGGCACGAAAAAAAATCGATTTTCCCTCCATGGCTCCGGTTATTGTATTCGAAAAGGTGAATTGGTAATTACAGATGCAATATGGACGATCTTTATGTGATTTTGTATGCAGTTTGATACTGTATGTTGAGAACCAAATTAGATTATAGTTTACCCAGAACACCGCAGATGCGGTTGCAGGATGTCCAGTTAATAGGGACGCGCCTTTACGATGACGTCGTTGCCGCATTTCTACCGTGACGTAGAATATGTTTATGAATACGACGGGATGGAAAGGTCGCGCACTCCTTTGTACCACATCAAAACCGCCACCGCACTGAATTGTGGTCGTTCCATGAAATTACACAAATGTCGTGGTTATTATTGTGCGTCCCAAGACAGTCATCACACACGCGATTTAGCAAAATGTATTGTGTTATCGAACGAAAATCCATTGAATTGTACACTTCAAAAATCATTTAGTTGATTTAAGTTGTGTGCTACAATCTGTACAAGAACCGTGAACGTGCAATGCATTGATCAATATACATCATCACACAGATAACATCATTTTCTCATGCATCTTTTTTAACACGGCGTGTTGCTATCGTTACTGCCTTCATCACATTATTTCAAAATTACCTTTACATGTAAACAATTTACAATTATTGAATTAAACATCAACACTACGTTTTGTCCACTAGTGTTCTTGTTATCACCCAAGACTGTCACGTTGTACGGAATGTCACATAACCTGCTGGACATTATCACTCCTTTTTACCTCTTAGTTGGATTATTTGAATACATGTGTTATATTTGAACACAAAACTGTGAATGTTCTGATATCTTCTTGTAGTATCACATTTTGAAATATAGTCGTAAGTAGCTAATTGGTTTATAAAACGCATATAAAATTTACCAATTAGGAATATTAAATACTTTTAAAATTGTATTCGAGTAAAATAGCAATTTCCCGTTATCTTTTCACGTCGATTGGTTCAATTAAGATACAATTATAAGGCTTATAAAAGTGTGAACGGTGATCACATGTTACCAGTGTGCTACATTATACGTCGAAACACACACATCGTCATCATCATCCAGAATGTACGGCCTTAAGATTACATTGGTATTGTGTTTGCTCGTTGCTACCATTTTACACACAAATGCGGTACGTGTTGACTGAAGTTTCACTTTAGTCGTATTTCTATTTTCTATGGTCGTGGTTATTTTAATTAATTGTTACTGTATTATACATGTAAACATATTCTCTCTGCAGAAGCCAGCACCTAGAGGGTTGAACAAGATGCGTGAGACTGTGAAACGCCGCCCTTTCCGTCAAGGTAAGCCAATAAGTGTTAACTGATGAGACTTACAGTATCAGGGCAATTGACGCCCCCGACTATAACATAAATACACAGTATTATGTGATAAAAGAGTGACTTGGGAATTTCGAGCAAATTAGGATTCCCGACCTATATTACTATATATTACATTAACTGGTGTAGTTGGGTCTAATTTTGATTCACGTACACTCGTGTTGACTTCAAAACGCGCTATATACTATCACATGATATATGAGGCGCAGTCCCTCACTAGGAAGGGCTTGCGGTTTGAGGCACAGATACCTTGGGGAGGGCGTGATAGTTGTGCAGAAATGTTGCGCACCCATATACGTTAGAAGAGTCGGAGATCAAGGTGTTTTGTACGTTATTGTACGTATGGTGATTCGTGGGTAAATTGGATTCAACTACAGTATAAGGACATATTTCGAACCCAAACACATACATGTAGCAATGAAACATGCAATGGACTGCCGATCGTACCCGAACACATGGCAATGAAAAATAGATAGACTGCCGAATGAATCCGAACGTATCGCGATGAAACATGCGATTGACTGCACAATGAACTCGAACATATGACAACTATTTAGCATTTCAACCTGTGTTGTAGATTATATGCACTGGCATAACCGAATACCCGAACAAAGCCAAAACATGAATTTCAATAAAAATATAAATGATAATGCTGTACAATAATATGATTTCAATTAATATATTTCAGGAAAGTATCATGGTATAAAATGGTTTGGTATGTCTGATAGCTCCAGTTCGTTATATGAACCCTCTGACAGCTACCAAAATTCTGCCTCTTCATCGTCGTCATGGTAGTGATTACATGCCAATTTATTGCACACAAGTAATACACTCTGCAATTTAACAAGTTGACGGTATATCAGCTTTCTATTTCTGAATGTATTTTACCTACTATAGTAGTCTGAGATTTTACTGATCTTTCACCTGGTTTCAAGAAGAAAATAACTGTTTTACGGAATAACTGTTTTTGTACACCTGAGCTCTTTTGCAGTGTAACGATCTCTGTCCGACTGTGTTCAAAACACAAAATGATTTCATTACTTTCTTTTAAAGACATGTATCGATTTAAGTTGGGCCATCTTCGCTATCAATCGCCTAACTACTCTGGGCCAGGGTACTTGTATGTTTACATCGGATTCGCAAAACCGTGTGACCCGGACAATGAACTTAGGAACGAACGGTCACAATCACATAAACATGTTTTCTGTCGTAATTTTGAAAGTTTCAATTCATGTATTACGTTACAGAAAAATAAAGTAACTCAATGCTGGTGTTATATTGTCACGCGTAATATACGTCACATAGTATGTTTCTGATAATTTGTATGTCTATTAATGTTATACAGGTTTGAATGTGGGTTATTTTAATACTTTTATCTCGAGCGGAGATTCATCCGGATTTGATCATTCTGTAATGTTTTGATATTTTCGACTTCTTGAAAACAACCAACCCGATTTCATTGGTATGTAATACTCTATTATTGGTGAATATTTTAGTCATTTTGTTAACTGGTTGTAGCAACATTTGCATTTGGCCATTCTGAAATCGATCTAAAAATCATTATAGTCACGTTATATCAGTATGTTCTATGTATGTGCCAAGATGGACAATAGCTGTCTATGTATAACCAAGATCTGGGTTTGTAGTGGCAGAAATGCTTGATATTGATGTATTTTTAATGATGTATTAAAATGGCTGCCATCTGACAATCCTGAATTATATCATGAAACAAATGAACATATACATGTGTCCAACTAGATGTTAGATTTATCTATAAAGTTTGAACATGATCAGTCAAGGCATGTCAGAGATATGGCCTCAAAACAGCATTTATTAAAACAAAATGGCCACCAGTTGCTTTTTTGAATCTGATGTGAGAACAAATCAGAGAAAGCTTAGAAAAAATCCGATGTCGGAGAGTATTGGAGACATATTAAAAATTATTGAGCCTTCCAAACAAAAGGTTGACACCTAATTTGAGATGTACAATGTGATTCACAATATTGAAATTCATAATACTTACAGAAAATACATTTCATTTTACATCTGTGATTTTCAGTCTCATTTATTCCAGAGTTAACAATTTCAATTTAAATCAGAGTTTTATAGATAGCAGAAATTGGCTAATAATTAGATAATCAATATGCATGTTCCCTATTACTAAATTAATCACGTCTGTGTCACGTCTTCCAAGCATCTATGAACCAGTTTTCAATGCAAATGTGATGATTTTGCACATTGTGCAAATTTGGCAATTACTATGCTAGAATTTCAATCCCAAAGTAATGCATTGTTCCATGGTTTATATACCTAGTCTTATGGATAATTATTATGCAAATTAAACAAGTACTAAGCATAGATTCAACCCCAAACTAAATAAGTCTGTGTATTGTTCCAGGGCACATATGTATCAAGTTTCATTATAATGTAATGATGAATTCTTAAAAAATTGATAAGTTGAAAAGTAAATTATTATGCAAATTAGGTATTTATTATGAATGTATATAAACCTCAAACTAATTAGTTGCATTGTCTTATTGTATTTACGTACAAAGTTTCGTTGGAAAATAATAAGTACTTTGATATTGGTGGAAAACTGATTATGCAAATCAGGTAATTAATATGCACATATTTTAATGTAAAACTAATAAGGTATGCACAATGTCAGACAATAAATACACAAAATTTCAATAAAATCTGTTTAAAACTTGAGATATTGAAATATTATGAATTAGGCAAACTAGGCGAATTAATGTGCAGATTTAAAACTAAACGGGTTTCTATTGCCCTAGAGCATCCATGTACCAAGTTTCATTGAAATGTGATTAGTACTTGAGATATCAGTGGAAAAGCCAAAAAAATGACTAAACTTTATGCAAATTAGGTGATTAATACGCTCAGATTAGTATTCAAAACTAAATAGGTATGTGCATCTATGTATCCAGTTTAATTGAATGTTAATGAATAGTACTAGAAATATCAAAATATGCAAATTAGGTAATTAATATTCAGATATTAACCTAAATCTTATCAGGTCTGTGCATAGTCCAAGAGCATCTATGTACAAAGTTCCATTGTACCTTTATATGAATATTAGTACCTGAGATATCAGTGAAAAAGCCGAAAATTGACTAACCATTATGCAACTTATATATATACGAATGTTTACCCAAAACTAATCAGGTCTGTGCGTTGTTCTACGAGCATCTATGTCCCAACTTACAATCCAATGAGTATTTTTTTACCTGTTCATGGAACAGCTAAAAATTAGCTAAATATCATGCAAATTAGGTAATTCATATGCATGGATTTAACCCAAAATCTACTCCAGAGCATCTATGCATTAAGTTTAATTAAAAATCAACATGTGGTTCTTGGGATATCAGTAGAACAGGTGGACGGACAGACATACCAACCGACTCAGATTGTGTTCTTTGCACACGGGAGTATAAAATGAGTCAACAAGAAATGTAGGTGGGCTGAGAAATGGTATTGGATAGAAATTAATATTCATGAACTAACTGAACAAACCAAGTTGTTTATTTCTTTATTATAACAAACAATTGTTGATAGTAACATGTAAAAACATAATTATATGCATGTAATATCAGAGGTATATTACTTGGGGTTTGCAACTACGATGACATGATACCAAGATCCCGTTTCAATCTCGCTCTTGCATAAGCGTTCCAACTCAGAAAAATGCGAATGCGCATGCCCGAGGTAACTAGGATACTGAGATGTCCA